CTCCTTCACACCCGAGGGTTCCCGTTATTGATTCGTCCGACGGAAGGTTCATCCGCGAATGTTTCCGCGTCCGCCGATTCGGCCGCCTGCGCGCGACTCGTCTATACACCTCGTCAAATTTTCAGACTCGCGCAAGTCGAACTTCGGACTACGGAGAAAAACACACTATACAAAATTAAGTGGAGGGGGGAGGGAGAGAGAAAAAGAGAGAGAGAATGAAAAAGAAGCCGGTTCGATAGGTGCAGTCGTTTAAGAATCTAAGATCCCCCGGACGCTTCGGGTCGACTCTAATCCCGGAATGAGACTCCTGCTTTCTTTATTACTTTTATTTTTATTATTATTCATCTAATCTTTAAAAAGTACCGAGACGTCGGGATATATTCGCGTCCGAGTCGAGACGCTCGATGCTTTTCGAATTAAGAAGGGAAAGCGAGATAGCGCGCTACTTTAAAGAACGACGAGCGACGAGATAGCGAAAGTTCTGGCGATTGTTTTTCAGCGCATCTTATTTTGCAGCTCGGAGATGCCATTGTTTTCTGCATCTCTCGACTCGTCGGCGCGACGACGAGCGACTCCTTTTCCTCGCGGCGTATCGACACCGCGCTCTATAAATAACCGTCGGCGATAACACACGATTTAATGCATTCGCGACATTGTCATTGCTGCGCTCTCTCTCTCTCTCTCTCTCTCTCTCTCTCTCTCTCTCTTCCCCCCCCCTTCTTTTTTTTTCGACGAGTCGCGTCCATCGTCCTGATAATTCGATAAAATTATATTCATACTCCGAGCTACCACTTCTTTCCCTTGTGCGAATTCTTCGTTAAATTTCTCGATAAAACCTTTGAATAATGTATGGATATTAGGCTTGTTTTTTTCAAACAAATTTCTTGTATAGTTCATCTTTTTTTTCTTTTTTCTATGTTGGAAAGAAAAAGAGAAAAGATGTACTGTGCAAGAAGTTCAGCTGAAAAAAAATAGACCTATTAAATTGAAGGTTTTGTGCGAATCATCCGACTCATTATGCACAAATATATCGCAAACAGATAAAAGCGCACTTATATTCTCGTTACGTATCACGAAGGTTATTATTTCTGCAATTATTAGCTTTCTAAGAAGGAAACTTGAGGATAAGCAACTCATCGAGTTTTCGCGACGACTTTGAAAACACCGAGGAATTTTCCGAGCACGTTCGAGAGGAGAATTAAAGTGTAATTCAGTCTTTAATTCACTCGTTGCCATCGATTCTTCTGGAAGAGTATCGGATTTTCCCGATAAGGTGCTTTGGCCTTATTGATTTTCGCTGATGGGAATCGAAGTGGGAATAATTCCAACGAGAATGACCGTGCTGATAAATTTCGTGTACGTATTGTATATCGAAAGCGTGATTGTGCGTGCCCGATTCGCACGTTCGATCGTCTGGTTCGCCGGTGAATGATATCACGAATTTACAGTCAAGGACATGAAAGTCCAATTTAAGGCGGATGACACAGGCGAGCTGAATATCGATCGCGAAGACTGACCTTGCGAACCACAAATTGAAAAAAAAAAAAAAAAAAAAGAAAAGCGCAGCGGCTCCCGTTCGAGGAATTTTCGAACTCGCTCGTCCGCTCGCTCGACGCTCGCTAATCCTCTAATTCCGATGTCTCCGATAAAATTAATAAAATTTGCTTTTGAAATTTCGTAATAATTTCGAAATGCTACTTTTTTTCTTTGCATAATTTTACGTTAAAAATTGAACACAAATTTCCCAAAATCTTTGTTATATTAAAAAATTAGAATTTTTGAAAAAAATTATATTGTATTCGAGAGAAAATCATCGTTTATTAAATGACACCAAAAAAAATTAATGAGAAATATTCGATACAATAGTCGAAAAAATTATCGCAATTCCATAATTTCTATTTGAGGAAAATATTTTTGTGTTTTTTCATATTTTCGATATATTTTAAAATGTGCTTTCAATTAGTCATATTACGATGCTCGAAATGAAAAATTCCAATTTTCTTCTTTAATAACGAATTTCGCCGGGCGCAGTTACCATTTCGGTCATGCG